CTTTTCCCCGCCCCCTCTCCCATTCTTGCGAGAAATAGACTTCCCGAGAGTTACTGAGAGCATTATGCCGTGGGGGAGTCAAAGAGGAGGGGTAGTAAAGGGAAGTACACCTTCCGCCGCCACGGAAACCCAATCTTCTAACTACGAAGTGGGATGAAAAAGCTTGGTGAAGCTTAGCGGGCGCAATGTGGATTCTTATTGTATGAAATTGAGCATAGAAAAGGGAGCTTCATGGCATGCGGGGGTTCCAAGGTAGGGAGGTCGGCACTAAGGTGATGAAGATCTGGGCCGTAGAAGGAAGTTACAAGCATTTCTTTCTTCATCTGAAGAAACGATAGAATAGATGAGCAATGTAGTCCTGATGTATGATCTTGTTTGCCGTATTGGTTAAGAGACCGGATGCTGAGGCCTAGCTTCCGTTCATTTGCCGACACTTTTGGACGAGTTCATGGTTGTAAGACTGTGCTTAGTGATTCTGCCGATGTTGAGCAGCTTGAGGCGGGGGAAGAGGAATGTTGATGGCGAACATCGGGATGCCTCGGCACGAAATTATGGCTGCGACAGGCATCAGTTCAGCAGAGCTATGAATATCCTAGGATGGTGATTGTTAATCAAGAAGGGCTACTTAGCATGAGTTTCTGTCTAGAAAGTTATGATGATACTTCTCTATTGCTCTCCGAAATATTGCAGGTTATCAAGACTTATTTTGTAGCATCCAGTGACTACTCTTACTTTCTGGTGGCTTTATCCTGCAATCTTTGGGACGTCGATGTATTTATAACTCGGTTACTAAAATATCTTCCCATTCACATTACGAGAAGAATAAATTTGCTTCGTCGATGTAGAAGCACCTCTACAACTACAGCCACATACTTTGCGTTGACATCAAAAACAAACGTGCTATACAAGGCCCGAGCTATTGAGGCAAACTTTCGAGATTACGTCTTATTCATTGAACTCAGGTCTCGACAACTCAACTTACTTGGTAGCGTCACTTGTGCGCAATGCTTCATAATCTTCAAACATATCACCTTGAATATCATATGATATGGTTTAACAACTCAACTATGTAATAGGTTGGAGACGAAAGATGAAAAGAAAACAACTAGTATCTCGTCAGTATATCCCATTGGTTGTAAGCCGACGTCTGTAAAATTGCAAATCCTTCGTAGCTAGCAGCCTGTACAATGAAGCCTTTGCTCCAAAAACTTTGCATCTCTGCAGCAGTCACGGTGAGAACGACTTGCATCGCTAAATAATTCACGGAGTTCTATCGAGTCAACGATTGACACACTTGAAGACGGTGGTTTTGCACGATGCTGCCATGATTTGGGACTTGACCGGTTGGCAATGGTATTGTCCCGTGACCCAAACTGGGACCATCTCGGACAGCACCTTAATGTATAATTAAGTAGACTGTGAATAAACAAATTCACCTTAGACTACAGGGCATTTAGCCTTGCTACTACATACTTTGTTCCATATCATAAGGTAATAGAGCAGGAAATCGAGACGAAGCTCATGCAAACCAGTTAATGGTGAAAAAATTGCTGCAGACATCTGTCATCATCTGAGATCTCATTGCTTTGGTCTATTCAAGGTAATCTTGGTTTAGACCGCATTTCCAACTCCCACGACAACATTAAAATTGCTCCAGTCTTTGGTGCCTTCGCGGCATTCTTTAAGGTATTGAGGGATACCACCAAGATAGTTGAGCTGCTCCTTCTTCTTGCCGGGAATGTTCCCTCCCACATACCAGGATGTATCGCTCTTGCTAAAAAGTAAAGCCTCGTGTATTGCCTGTACTGTTTTCTTCCAGTGCTCTTCAGCTGAACGACGTGGCTCGATGGATGTGATCTTTTCCATGCGCAGCTTCACCAGGAAGTCTGTTATAAAGTCGACTTGCTGCTCGATGAACACCGGCGCGTTCGTCAGAGCCGTAGGAGCTGTTTCAGTTGTCGTCAATTACTTGAGGTCTTCCAGAAAAGGTACGTAGGGCTTCGTGCTTACCTTGCGGCCCGTATATCATGAACATGTTCGGACAGCTTCGAGCCATCAAGCCAAGGTACGTCCAAACACCCTGCCTCCACCTCTCTTTCATGTCGATGCCGTCTTTACCGCGGAGTCCCATGCTTGTCAAAGCTCCGGTCATACTATCGTACCCCGTTGCTAACACAACGATGTCATGCTCTCTCTCCTTACCATCTTCGGTCACGATACCACGCGCTGTCCATTCGCGGATGCTTGTCTTCTTCACATCCACCACTTCCACATTATCCTGGTCCATGCATTCATAGTAATCCTGCTCCAAGCTGCTTCGTTTCGTTCCGAATGGGAATGGCTGTTTGTCAGGCACCAATATTGCTCGCTTCTTCGGGTTCTGCACCCGGCATTTAGTTTTCTTTGCCCAAAACTCGTAAATCAAACGATTCGCTTCCGCGTCCACCAAGAAGTCCGTATACTGGCCTGTTTGGAAGTTGAAGGCCCCTCTTTTCCATAGCTCCTCCCACCATGCTTCCCTTTCTTCCGTTGTTGTCTCCTTTGTAACCTGGGTAGGTCCATCGCACGGTAGTCCGGCACTACTGTCCCTCGCCAACCTGAATAGTGTCTTGTATATCGCTTTCAAGCTGTCCTGCTCGAGTTCCGAGATTTCGCGTTGACGCATGGGGAGCGCAATGTTGACATTTCGCACGTAGACTGTCAGCTTCACGCCAGGCTGTTTGGCAATTTCCTGCACGCACTGAACGCCTGTCGCACCTGATCCAATGATGGCCACTCGTTTATTCTCAAGATCGATTCCGGAAACAGGCCATGCCGCGGGGTGTACAATTATGCCTTTGAAGAGATCTTTTCCTGCGAATTCGGGCTCATATCGTTTGATTGAACTGCCCGTCGCCGTAACCAAGAATCGTGACGTGATAATCCGTCCTGAATCGGTTTCGATGATCCACTTGGCTGTCACCGTATCGAAGTCGGCACCAACCACAACAGTATTGTAGGACACGTCTTTAGAAATATCAAGAACTTTGTCGACGTGCGTGAAATATCTCTTCAGCTCCGCGTGCCCCGGAAAGCGTTGCGACCATGTCCAATCTTTCCAAACTTCCCGCAACGAAAGCTGATAGTAGGGCGTCTCCGAGTCAACTCGTGCTCCGGGATAGCTGTTCCGATGCCACACGCCGCCGAGGGCCGATCCAGCTTCCACGATGTGTGCCGAAAAGCCCGACTTGCGCAGCTGGTGTAACGCGTAGCATCCCCCAAAGCCGCCGCCAATGATCAGAACATCGTAATCCATCTTTCTGTAGTGAGTGCCATTACAATTACCATTGTGTTCGGTGAGGTGATTATCGAGGTGGTGGGTAGACCCCATTGTCACCAACTCAGTCTTGAACCTTGAAGCCAACCAATTTGAGTCAGGATCAGGACGAAAGAGTCAGGAACAATTTCGAAATCGGGGGATACGGGAGATCTACCGACTCAGGAGGGGAGATCTGTTAATTTATGAGCCGACGAGTGTATGGTCCAAAAGATCAGACGGGATTTTGGGTTCAAGCAGGAGAGGAGATGAAGCTGATGTGCGGCATTAGGCCCGCCTCGGTCGCCTCAGCATGCTCTGGCGGCAACGCAGTCCTCTCTTTCGCCATCATTCTTGCTCTGCCGTACTCAGTAGCAATTGATGAGTGGTGTAAGCTTGCCATTGTTGAATCTTTGACGATGTTTACGTCGTACTTGAAACGATCCCCGCACTTGCAACCTAGACAACGTTGCAGTTGATGTAATGGGCCAGACGGGCCCATATCTCTCGGGAAGGTCGATGCCGTTTCCGAGTCTTCTCTGTTGATGATGCATGATTCTAGCCAGGATACAAGGTCGACATGTGTAGAGTCCTGTTAGTTGGAGGATTCAGGGCCCAGCCGAGTGAACCTAAGGAATGGTCTCTCCGAGGATACAAGCCGTTCGATGTAGCATACAACCGGGGTTCTTGGACTTGTCGATATAATGAGAATGAGCAGTATTCATACTTGACTACATGTATGGAGTGCATAGCCTTCTTATCGTGAACGACAATACTATGGAGGTTCAGTTGCAAGCTTACTCAATCAATGCGTGGAATTAGTCAAGTTTATTAATCAACGATACGTGCCGGAATACATAGCAAGTATAGACTGGAATAAGGTCAGTTACTTGATGCTATGTCCCCGATGATTTCACCTAGGGGGTGGGAGATGTGCGGACGGCCTCCCGCAGATATTGTGTACATGCCATTTGTACTTTCCAGCCCCCAGCCAGAATAAAACGTGTCATAGCTAGAGATTTCCCCCCACTACCAATATAAGGGGTTGGGACAGCTGGTAGACTTCAAGTGATGGCAATCAGCCCCATTGGTACGAATATGGTGCCTAGGGCTTCATATCGAGGTTCGAGTACATCCAGTCGAAATTCCAGGTCACGTTATCGGCGCCCGGGAAAGGTGAGGAAGAGCAAGATGCATACTAATGTTCTTAAGGAATCAGAAAAGAAACCAGCTGATTATATGAGAACTATCGCGTGGCCTATACTTGACCCGTGCTGTTTGCCTTGGAGTCCTACAAGTCGCACTGAACGCTAAAGCTGATGTGGAGTCTTCTGGCGAAATCGACAGCAAAGTCCGCTTCCTTTTCGTATACTATGAATTATATGATAAGGTAGGGACAAGCTGCGTTTTCATATTTTTAAAGTGAATGATGCGTAGTAGAAAAATGTGCTTCCCTTTGATCTAAGGAGCGGCTGTGTGCTGCAGGAGGCCTACCGACCTTAGCCCTAACACAACCAACAAACTCGCTCTTTTGAACCCTTTGTGTGAATGCACAGCCGTACAGGCTGAAATTCTTTCTACTTCTTAGATTCCTGAGAACTTCTTCCCCTTCCTTCCTTATCTTCCGAAAAGGAACAAACTCCCACAAACCAGACCATTCTAAAATCGCGCCTAGCGCCGCTCGAATCGACCGATATCGCCGGCCATGGCGTCCACAGACGACATGATCATGGATTCTCTACAGGAATGGAAGCAGCGTCTGAGTCCTCTAAGAGTTGACATCGTTGGTGACTTTGCTGGGAAAGAGCTGTTCACCATCCATGGAGAATCCTTGGTGGCTCACTGTCTCGCGTCTGCAAATGTCGACTATCTCGGTGGGCATCTCCCGACACCCCTCCAAATACGTCAATTACCTACTTGATCTCAGCTAACTGATAACACAGCCGGCTTCCAGCTACTTCATGCGGTACATGCGATCGAGGCCTTCCTGGCCAAACTCAAGGAGCGGGGATGCAACTTCCACGTCCTGTGGTTCGACAGTCACCAAGACCTAGCGACACCACCTGACTCTCCAAAGGATCAATCTTACAAATACCTCTTGACGCGTGCTGTCGTTATTGAGCACTTGCGATGTCCCAAACCACATCCTGAAATGAGTCTCGACGATCGCGGCATTGACTCTCCAATGAGCTACGTGTTTCCTTCCATCACGAGCTCCGAGTTCTTGGAGTACACCAATCACCACCGCTTTCACTTTGTCATGATGTCCCAAGGCAGGTCTTCAGATTTAGACACGACAAAGGAGGGGAAACTGTTGAATATTATGTATCTGTTTGGTCTTCGCGGCTACAGCTTGGCTTTCATCGACGACATCGAGTTTCGAAGCTCCAAGGTAAAGTTTCGTGCTACCTCTGACAACAGATCACAGAACGCTCACGTAACCCTTTGATGGCAGGTATATTCTCTCATTGCAACAGCACCGACCTCGGCGACATTGGTACCAATTATAGAGCCAACACCGGCGACGAAACCCGATCCCGGCTGCCGACGGACCATCGAACGTCTCCAGACCATACCAAAGCCTAGTGAGTGGCGAATGCTTCGATCTGACGGCGAAGTCGAGGCCCAGGAAGAAGTAGCGGTCACTACTTGCGCAGTCTTCTTGTCGAATAAGGCCTCTTTAGATGTACACAACCACAGACTAGTGGCTGCTTTCCTCTCACACATTGCTCTGCTGAAGCACGCAACGCTCTTACAACGACCCGTGGAGGCTCCACTCAAGCTGGAGAATTCTTCGGGCATCGAGGAGTTCCTCGCGACTTTTGCTGAAGTAGCAATTAACCTGATGCAGCAGTGGCCCAGAGGAGAAGAAGGACAATACCTCAATTGGAGAGTCTGTGATCTCATTGACGGTCGACTCTACAGTCAGGTCTTGGAGAGACTCGAAATACTCCAACTCCCAAGTGATGCCGCATCTGGGTATGCAGCAGCTGTACGGCGATTGTCCGGCGTCGACGTATCCTACTGCATGCCGAATTCCGTTCCACAGATCAAAAGTGGCGCAGGAACACATCGCGTCAGCTACCGAGCCCCAGACACCCAGTCGATCCTTGCATTCAGCCATCCCGTGTTGGATAAGTATCTGGGAGACGTCAAGTTGACAAGCCAATTCGTGATGGAGGATGAAAGCTCTGAGTCCAAAATCTTTCAAGAGCTCTCTCACTGGCACAATTCGAAGAAGAGCATCGACCCCAAGCATATCCCAAAGCGTCGAGGATTCTTCGCGAGCAAGAGGAACCAGAGATACATGGCCGACACGATTGCCTACTCTGCCAGCCTTACTAATTCTACTGGAAAAAGCATTGACCCTGAGACGATTGTCGCCAAGAAGACAGACCTTTCAGCCAGGGTCAAAAAGCAAGCCGGCACGGTCAGAAGACAAGGTCAATCGATCAAAAGTGGTACAGAGAGTGCACTTGAGACATCGAGGAGATTGAGGGAGGAGAGGACTCAATCCAGAACCACGGTAGTCATCAAGAACTGGGGAGAGAAATGCCGGGACTTTGATAGGATCCCGTCTGTCCCACAACGCTACTTGAGGGTCAAGAGGTACTTATCAAGTCTTTCTCCAGAGGACCAGAAGGCTGTCGGCGGCGAGATAATGTTGTACATGTGCAACATCCTTGGCCTCCAACTTATTCGTAGACCCCCGAAAAAGGCTTTCAGCGATTCAGGTATGGGCAAGCGTTAATTACGTTTCTTCGTCTCTTCTTCTGACCTCATTGCTCTAGAATCGAGTACATTGGCAATGATCTGGGCCCAGATCAGAGATATGACGTCCTTGCCCCTCACCGTTGAGACAAAACACCAGGTCCAGTATTTGATGAAGGCTTTAAAGTTCCCGCGGGGTGAACTTCAAGACGGACCTTCCATGCCCGTCAAACATCAACTTCCGTTCGTCTCGACGTATGAAGTATCAAGCAAGCATCTACAAGTCCAGACGACTAGTCTCGAGTTCCAATTGGCTCACTGTGGCCCTTACCTGGAGAGAAGCTTCGACTCCGCCCCCGACCCGCGCGTTACTTTCAGCCCAGATGCCTGGCAACGAAGCGTGCTTGATGCCATCGATCACGACAAGAGCCTTTTCGTCGTCGCTCCCACGTCCGCCGGAAAGACCTTTATCTCGTTCTACGCCATGAAGAAGATCCTGCAGAACAACGATGACGACGTCCTCGTCTACGTAGCCCCAACCAAAGCACTCGTCAACCAGATTGCCGCGGAAGTTCAGGCTCGGTTCTCCAAGTCTTATCGTCATGAGGGCCGTTCGGTTTGGGCCATTCACACTCGAGACTACCGCGTCAACAACCCCACCGGCTGTCAGGTTTTGGTGACCGTTCCGCACATCCTCCAGATCATGCTTCTGGCACCCACCAACGCGCAGAATGAGAGATCCTGGGCTCGCAGAGTTAAGAGAATTATCTTTGACGAAGTGCACTGCATTGGCCAGGCCGAAGACGGCATAATTTGGGAGCAACTGTTGCTTCTTGCTCCTTGTCCCATCATCGCCCTATCTGCTACAGTGGGCAATCCGCTTGAGTTCAAAGAGTGGCTCGCAGGAACCCAGAAGACCAAGGGCTTTGAACTTGAAATGATAGTTCACTCGGCCAGATACTCTGACTTGCGAAAGTTTCTGTATCAGCCCCCCTCTACGCTGAATTTTGAAGGACTAGAGCCAGTGGAGCGTTTGCCAATCCCCGGTTTGGATGCTGAAGCAGGAGAAACCTCGCGTTTCACGTTTGTGCATCCAGTCGGAAGCATTATCAACAAGTGAGTCTTGGTACAAATCTCATGTGGTCTTGCAAAACTTTTAATGCCACCTTTGACTAACTGATTGAAACTAAGGAACCGCGAGACTCTTGACGATGCCAGTCTCGAGCCCCGCGACTGTCTCCGACTTTGGCTGACCATGAAGGAATCTGAAAACGAATCATTTCGTATCAGTCCCAGCCTCAAGCCCGAGATTGCGTTGCCAGAGTTGGTGAAGAAGTCGGATATCATCAAGTGGGAGGCTGCTCTCAAAGCGCAGCTCTGGCAATGGCAACAGGATCCCAAGTCGCCCTTTCCAGAAGTATACAAGAGGCTCAAGATAAATGGCCCTTCATCAGCGATAGACCTTGAGAGGCCCGAGGTCGTCGCAGACATCTATGGTGACTCTTCGTTCTCACTCCTCGTTGATCTCCGCTCCCGGGGTGCCCTGCCAGCTATCCTTTTCAATTACGACCGGCTTGGATGCGAGAAGGTAATTCTCAAGCTTCTTCAAGTCCTGGAAGATGCTGAACAAAAGCATCGAGATACAAGTACAGAGTGGGCGCGGAAGATGGACTCATATCAAAAATGGCGAAAAGTCAAGGATAGCAAAGCTGCGAAGAAAGGAGCAAAAGCGACTAGAGCAACTGGGGCTGCAAAGTCCAAGGAGGAGAGACACGACGCAAAGGATTCTGGTGCAGCCCTGAATCAAGCTGATCTTGTGAGGGAGGACGCAGGCCGGGAAACCAGCCCGTGGGAAAGCTTCGATCCCGGGGCGCCGCTTCCGCAGTACAATTTCGCGGACACTACTAAACTCACAGCTGAGGACTTAGAGGCCCGCATTAGGTCTCTGGATGATTTGGGCATCAAGCCTCGCCTAATCGACGCTCTTCGCCGGGGACTCGGTGTCCACCATGCCGGTATGAACCGGCAGTACCGCCAAGTGTAAGTTGAAACTAGCCTTGTATTCGAGCAATTACTGATTTCAAGGGGCAAAGTGTAGAAATGTTGTTCCGTAAGGGCTACTTGACGGTCGTTGTTGCGACCGGTACTCTCGCTCTCGGGTTGAATATGCCTTGCAAAACTGTTGTCTTTATAGGTGACTCGGCATTCCTCACGGCTCTCAACTACCGGCAGGCATCAGGACGTGCTGGACGTCGTGGGTTCGACCTCCTTGGTAACGTCGTCTTTCATGGCATCCCCCATCATCGTGCCATGGAGATCATCTCTTCGCGGTTGCCCGATCTCAGAGGCCAATTCCCCATTTCCGTCACTTTGATTCTTCGGCTCTTTATCCTGCTGCACAGCACGAACAACTCCCAGTATGCCATTGATGCAGTGGAGTCCTTGTTGACTCAAACACGTCTGTTTCTCGGTGGACCTGCCTCGCAGATGACCGTCAAGCACCACGTGCGCTTTTCCATCGAGTACCTCCGGCGACAGCACCTTCTCTCTCGAACAGGAGCCCCCCTCAACTTCTCGGGCCTGGTGGGCCACTTGTACTTCACTGAGAACGCTGTGTTTGCTCTGCACTCTCTGCTCAAGGAAGGCTACTTGCACAAGCTCTGTGAGGACTTTATCAACCCACGGAAGCAAGGAGAGATCATCCTCAATTTGTTGACAGTATTGTGTCATCTCTTCTGCCGCATTCCTTGCAGCAAGTACAACAACCGGGAATGGCTCGAAAACGTCGTACATCGATCGCCTTCCGTTGTCCTTCTACCTAGACTGCCGCTTGAGGCCGAAACCGTCCTCCGAAATCACAACAAGGAGACTCTAAGGATTTTCAAGACTTACGTTCACAACTTCATTGCACAAAATCTCCAGGACTCTCCAGATGACCAGCTTCCTTTCACGAAGCGCCGCGTGGGCGCCGTCGGGGAAATCTCAGCTGATATTTCAACGGCGCAGATTCCGATACTTCCTTATCCGACTCTTCGATCCCCTTTCGCTGCGCTGTCAGGCTTCACAGATGACTTTGATACAATCCACGATCTATGCAACACAATTCGCAGTGGTGTGTTCCTTGACGAATCTGCTATCCCGTACATCCCCATTTACCCTGAAGAGACAAATGGCGTGCCCTGGAACGCCTACATCTATGACTTTTACAAGCACGGTGATCTCAACACTCTCGTGCGGGACAACGGAATCAAGGGCGGCGATGTATGGTTCCGCCTGAAAGACTTCTCATTGATATTGGCCACCATCGTAACAAGCTTGGAGAACATCCTAGGTCGAGCCGATGCTGATGACTCGGACATGATCAATGTTCGAGATGTTGGCGACACCATCGAAGAGGAGAGACTCAGAGAGGAATTGGAAGCAAAATTCTCGGATTACCCTGCAACCTCATCTGCTACTGCGAACGCAAAGACGAAGTTCCGCTCTAGCAGATCTAAAGAAGCGGTGGTTGAATCATGGGAAGATGTGTCGGATGGCTCCTCGGAGGATACCCATCACCCGAGTAGCAACGCAAGCAGAGCCTTTCAGGCAACCGAGTCAGAAGGAACGTCTTTCGGGTCAGATCGGGAAAAGGGAGGCGGTGATGGTCTTGTGAAAGTTCACATGGCTTTCAAGCTCCTGCAGCAGGTTTTCGAAGACAATTTCAGGAAGGTGTGGGCATGAGCAAGTAATTGAGACCTTTCAATGATACATATTTTATACAGCAACTGGAAAATGAAAGAGTATCAAAAGCTTCTCTTGGTCAGACACCACCCCGTGATGTCTGATTATTGAGACGGCCAGGTCGTAAATTGACAAATCTGATTCAAACTCAGATTGGCGTCACTTTTTCCGAAACTGTGTTCTTCTGATCCTCGTTCTCATCGGATCTCTCACCTTCAGGCGGCGTCTGCGTCTCTCGAGCTGCGGCGGCTTGCTCGAAATCTTCCACCGTCATTGACCCATATTTTGCAAGTGATTGCCTGTCGATCTGTGGTATCACGGTCAGTTACTTGTACCCCAAGTGATCTTTCCAATTGTGGTGAGCTTACCCTGATAACGAGTCCCATGAAGCAAAGGACGATGACGCTGCACACGATCATAACAATCGCACCCTTCTTCCAATACGGGGCTTCATCAGCCGCGTAAAAGACGATGCCCCAGAAGGTGTAAAGCGTAGTGGCACCAATGTTCATAGCGTACACCGTCACGCTGCGTACCGCCTCGTCGCCGCTCCGTTGGAGAATGATACTAGCCCAGCCGAAGATCAACGGGTTGACCATGTACGACGAACCCGATGCGTAGAATGCGAACATGGTACCAGCGTAAGGCAGATTCGGTACGAGAAGCATCGCAGCGCATACGATCTGGATAAGACAAACCAGTACGACCATGGGCACCCGGGTCCCGGTCGCGTCCATGTGCCATGCTGCCATGATATTGGTTACGATGCCGACCGCTTGCACACCCAAAGGGTAGGTGTTGATCTGGCTCTGCGTGAAGGATTCGGCGTGGTACTTGAGCCAAAGGATGAAGTTGCCCTGGACAACCCAAGCCTCGAGTGTAGCGCAGATTGGAGACCACAGCACCAAAACCCAACTGTAACGTGGTTAACTACCTCAACTCATATTGTGATGAGAGCACTGTTTTTGACTCACAACGTGGGCATTAGTACTAGGCGCTTCAAGAGAGAGAACGGGTTGACTCCGTGTGACCCTTTGATGACTGGAGGCAAACGTCCAACGGCAATCTTCTTCTCAGAATCGCTAAGATACCGAGCGCTTGTGTTCTCAGGGATATCCGGGAAGTAGAAGAAGCCGAAAATAGCGATAGGAAGCGTAATAATCCCATCTGAAGACTGTTAGCAAGTTATACAAGCTGCAGGTTTCTTAAACTTTTTCGTACCAATGATGAAGACCCACTGCCAGCCACCAAGACCGGCAAGGCCACCCAATCCCTTGTAAATGGCAGCCATCATGACGCCAGCAAACATCGTGCCTACTTGGCCTGACGCGGTGAATATGGCTGTGCGCTTCGAGATTTCTTCAGGCTTATACCAGGAGCCCATGATATAGATGGCTCCGGAGTAGGTGCTAGCCTCTGCCAGGCCAAGGAAGAACCGAATAACGCAGAGCTGAGCTGTGTTTTTGACACCTGCACTAGCCATCTAAGTAGACACTGTTAGCGACTCGCACCAACCTCGTTGACAGCTGTGATACATACAGTCAGGAATGCCCAGAGACAGCACATCGACGGCAGCCAGATCCGCGGCCGGACGATTTGGAGACCAATTACAATGCCATGAGGAATCTGGCCCACCACCATACTTTGACATCGGTCAGCTCTTGCTCGTGGAAAGGTTGTTCTTGGGACCAGATCTTACCCAGCAGTAGTTACCGAAAGGACTGTGTTGTAGTCATGGCCCTTCATGTGCAAGGCCTCGCGGAGGCCAGCAACCTAAAGTAATATCTGTCAGCTTTCCGCTTCTCGATAGTCTTCTCACTTCTAATGTTGAAACTCACATAAGCATTGGCAAAAGCAGCGCGGTCTTTTGTTTCCGTTCATTGTCAGTGATACATTTCCTTCTACGAAATCGACATGACTCAATCAGCACATACCCAGGTAGTTGAAAAAGTAACTGAGGCAGCAGTATGTCAAGATGAAGAAGTCTGGGGTGCATTAGTCAGGCAATCGTTTTCTAATGCAGAGATAATGGGAGTGCTTGCCTATTTTTTGCACGAGACGTTTTTCTTCTTTTGAAGTTGCCTCGTTGCCAAGGAAGAAGGCTTCGCAAAGCCAAGAAAGTTAGCCCAAGGCGCGTGTACGGCTGAGACAGTGTTCGAGGCTTAGCGACATACCCTTGACCTTCTTGCCGGTTGATGGGTTCTCAGTGGCCATGTTTTCTGTCAATCGCTTGCCGCATATGGTCCTTTCCGATGCTACTTTATCCGAGATGCAACAAGAACAAGTGCTCTCGTTTGAATTCCGAATGATGCGAACGATCTGATAAAGAATTTTGAGAAATCTATCTTGACTGGCGTGTCATTCATCCGTAGACCTCGAAATTTTCTGCTGCCCAAATCTAGGGCGTGCGCGACAAGGGTTCGTCTACTCGGAGCACACGACGCTGGCGATGAATTGTCAATCGCATTTCTGAAAAGTCATAAGCGAAAGTAAACGCGCAGAACCTTCAGAGATGTCTAAAGAACGGACAGAAACTTGCTCACCAGAGAACCTTGATGGCCTCATTACTACCAGTTTTCCTACTAGCCATTTCGATGTGGTGGCCGGCGGCCCCGTCTCACCCATCTACTTTTGTGGCTCCATTGCACAAGCGCACTCCACTGGCTGGCATGGACATGGCATCTTGTCAAATGAAATTGTTCGGATTTGAGCGAAAACGGGCGGGGAAGCGCTTGGCGGCTGATGGATCTGATAAAAACACCCACCCGCTTGGAAGGCGGCTCTCCTGCATGAGTTGCCGAAGGCCTGACCATGGCAACCCTCCGGCGGCGTACGTTATCGCTGGTTTCCTTCTCGATAAATGCGGCGAACATACCACAGCATGAGGTATCTGATATACCTATCGTAAAAGAGACTCACGTTACTCGGATTTGAGTCCTTCGGATTTATAAGATTTGATATTTCACGATCTCTTTGTTCTCTCCTCTTGTGTTCTCCTATGTCGGAGCTCTATCCGTACAGGATCGTTGGTAATGCCAAGGCGAGTATTAGTCCGAGTTGATTTAGACTAAACTCTGATCGCCTACGAACCATATTTACAGCATCAAGGTTTTAAGCATGCAGATCAAATGAATGGATTTCAACTCGAAACGGGGGTCGCCTTTAGATGGATCAGCTCACTAGTGGATGCACTGCGACTTTAATAGAAGTTTCGAATTTCTGCGGACTCACCCATTGGTCTAGCAAGAACGGCAACTGACTCCTACAAACGTTCCAACAATAGCCGCAATTGCTGAGCCTGTTGGAACCTACCAAGTACTTCGTACGAAGTCTGTTGGTTGTTTACTTTTTCTTAGCTGCCTCCATGGCCTCCCGCTTCTTCTTCTCGTAGATGGAGTTGACCTTGCCCTCCAGAGCCTCGCCGCAGAAAGCCTCAAATGAATTTCCCGTCAAATCGGGATACAGATCCTTGGCGATTTGATATCCTAGGTAGCGCGCGTACTCCGGCGTGTTGTCTCCTCGGAGGCCCCACGATTTCCGATATTGTAAAACCGATAGCCTATGAGGGTTGGTCTTGTCATCCTTCGCCTTGACCATTGCAGCCTCAATCTCATCAGCCGACATCTGTGTTCCGATGTTAGTTTAATCGCTCAAAGTCAAGCCTTCACCGTCTGTTTCTCTTTCCGTATGTGCCTTTTTGCTTCCCAGTCTCAAGCAGGTAGTCTAGAACTTACGTATTTCCTCTCGACTTTTTCTCCACTCATCTTCTCAATCAGATCGTAGACTTCATTCTGGGACATGAGTTCGGTAAAGGCGAAGACTCTATGATTCAGGGTCTGTGGGTCCGCAATGATGCGGGCGACGTATCTACCAATGTCGCGGAGGTCAGTCATGCCAGAACGAACGCTCCCGTCTCCCGCGATCCAGTTGTCGAATGGGCTCGCGACTGCGTCAATCCGTCCCGAAGGGAGACGGGGCAAGCTGATCTGATACCACCAGCCAACATCAATGATCGTGTACGGGAGGTATATAGTCTGAATGTGGTTCAAGACATCCTCTTTCTACGACGCGTTCAAATATTAGCTCAACAGCCATTTTGACATCTTCTGGGGGTCTATGGAGTCTTTCTCACCTGATCCCGGAACCACAACATGCCCCTGCCGGGCATCACCGTCCCAAAAAAGCAGGGGACGAGTCGCTTTACCCCCGCTTTCTTTGCCGCATTGGCGAGGGGAATTTGGTCGAGCAGCTTGTCTGCCACAATGGCTGAGACGACCACCTCATGACCGGTAAGCTGATTCGCGATTTCATCTTCGGGTCCGCTCAAGTCTACTGAGGCAATCTTCACACCCCTCTTCTCCAAAGCTTTGACCTCTGGCTTCTCCAGCGAGCTCGGCCGGATAAGCGCAGTTACCTCCTATCAGACGACTTATCAGCAACGAAACAAAGGTATCAAGACTTGATAATAGACAGAGACCTCACATATTTCGTCCCAGTCGAAGAGAGTAGGCCATTTATAATAGAGGTTCCGGTCTCGCCGGTTCCGCCGAGTACTGCGACCTTCATGTTTGATGTTGTTCTTGGGTTTTCAAGAACCTAGAATGTTTTGTTGCCTGGAGTAAAAGCCAATGATCCAATCCTGGACCTTTGTCGTCGATGAGAAGGACTTGAGATTAACTTATGCTCCAGAAACTCATTGAGGCAACTATGGATCCCTCTTTACCTAATGTATCGGATCGCCTGCTATTGGCTCTCATAATCGCCACGAGGATGATATCATTGCAACGCTATTTCTCCATGTCGGTGTCTCGAACAGCCAAAAGTCCGCAAAAAGCGGGGAAAAGCTGCGGACTGGCCCGGTTTGACGCTGCGGAGTTTTATCGGGTTGGGGCTGAATGCAACGCGGACGCAGCTTCCCGCGTCTAGGGCCGGGGGCCCGCGCCAGCCCACTCGGTTTCGGTTCCGGAAGTGACTGGAGGACCGGGGGCGGCGAGCCAAACATCGGCCGAGGTGGCTCTACTGGCGGCTCTGGCTTATAAATCAGTATGAACCCCGCGTATTCTGGCTGGCTTTCCCCTCGTTTGAGGATACGATTGATACGAGATATCTCTGTCATTAATAACGTCGTGTTGGCTCTTCGCTGAGATTATGCTAGAGTTAGTCATTGTAGTGTCGTACCAAGCAATCTGTTTCGATAGTCTACTTGGTTATGATCAGGAGTCCACAATTGACTTGAAGACTGTTCTCTTTGGGGTAGCTTAAGCGCACAACTAATATTTTGTCGTGACCAAGCATATGAGACATGCCACATTTCAACTTCACGCTTTGGCTCGAAAGATAAAGGGACATGGAAGCAGTAAGATTAACTGACTGGACGAGGCAATACGGTACCAAGTGACTCAAGTCTGTTTTAATGATTTTGTTCATGGAACCCGTGAGGGCACAACTTCATACTATTGTTTCTGGCCGAAAGATAGTCATTAACTCTACCCAAATGTGAGATTCTGTGGAGCATGTTCAAGTGGGCATGTGTCTGAGATATAAGCCTCTTCTCTGACTGCAATCGAGATCTTGACATTGCATTAATTAGGCCGAAGGAACAATGCCGAAACCGTATCAATAGTAGACACCTCGAGCGGTATAGGTTTCGCTATTGACTGGAATTACCAACAAATCATCGAGTGGCTCAACTGAAGCTCCATTGTGGGACGTGTGCCCAACTTGCCCCGAGTGCTAGATAGCGCTCTCTAACGCTTGCTCAGTTACCCTTTTCTCTCTTGATCTCATCATCTCATGCTCTCTGTTAACTTTTACTATTCAAACATCCCCCTCTTCTGGTGTCTTCAATGCAAATGTTGATCGAACCAGCTCACGGCGGCCGACTTTGCCAAGGCCATCGCCTTCCTCTCCCCAGGCTTTTCGGGATCACCTCTAGTCAAGCAAGCATGCTCGACACCAGGGTAGTGATGATACTCAAATGACACGCCCTTCTTCAACATGGTCTCGAAATAATGCGACTTGAGCTCGGGGGTGAATTGCGTATCAAATTCGGGAGCCAACAGTTGCACCGGAACCCCAACACCATCAATGTCCTCCTTGGTCAGCAAGCTGGGGTGTCCAGTCGCGATGCAGTCGACCAACGGAGGATTATGCTCCTTGGCTCCCAACCGGAAGACTGCCCACCCGCCGTAACAGAACCCAATGGCCCCAACTTTGCTGTGCTTCTTGCGAACCTCCTTGACAAAGTTGGTGATTTCAGGTTCTCGAATTTCTCGTGAATTGTCCTTTCCAAAGCTCGAGAGGTCAATTTCATGCCATCGATTCTGAAGCACTGGTTCAAAGGGTACAACCCAACCGCCGAAGAAGTCTGGTAGGTAGACCGTGACATTGGCTTCGCGAGCATAGTGATCCGCTAGGAGGCGTGCGTTGGGGAAGGTCCAGCCTAGAAGGTCGTGAACGATGACAACTGCGGCGAGTGGATTGTCGCCGACGATGTAGACATCATTGTTGGCCAGCTTGTCGGTTCGGCCCGTGGGAGTGCCGTCCCATTCGAAGGCTTTTAAGCAACACGACGGGATAGCCATTTTCGGGGTCTTTGGAACGTGAACAGAGAAGCGCTATCTGTGTCTTCTGAGTCATGGTTTTTTCAAACCATCGACCTGCAACCAGAGGTTGAGTGAGCTGGCCCTGTGAGGGGTTTCGTACTTATAGTGGTGTGGTTTCGGCCTTCGGGTTTAGTAGTAAACACCGGTGCCAGGACGATGCGGAGTAAGTAAGCCGGGTTGAATAGAGTGCGAACGCCGATCTTCCAATGAGATACTAGTTAAAATAAAACATGAACAAGGCATTCGCTGGCCAGGATAACAGTATCGTAGATTGAAGGGAAATGGTCTCAATAAGGCCGTTGATGTACCAATCAAAGCTCTGGGCGTACGAATGCGAAAGCGACTTAGGCTAGGGACTTCGGTTTGCTAATCTATAAGGGGCGGAAATCTGACCTAGTAAGCAATGTTGCTGCGGCTACTAGACCAAAAGTACTTGAGTTAACTAAGTAGGCACGATTAATTCCCATGAAGAAGAGAGATGTGATTTCGGGAAAGTTGCTGTAGACATGTTCGCCATCTCCCCGTTTCGAGACATATCCTACGTTCCACATTTGGCTGTAACTTCGCAGTACATCATTTATCCTGGATCAACTGAGTCCGGATTTAATCATGACCACGCTTATTCCATGTCCGATCGAATACGGTGAGTGAGCGTTGAGCTAGTCGCAAGTTAGTTGACTAATGTAGTAGCAGGGGTGCTCGACATACCTGTAGGCACGACATCAAGAGCCTTGATGGAGACATTGTCCGGTTGCTCCAGCATGTAGACCGCTGCCTGCGCAACATCCTCAGACACAAGCGGACTGACCAGCGTTAGCTTATTTACGCATAGTGATAAAGAATCAGACCAGCAGCAAGAACTTACTCGTATCCTTCCACAAATGAGTCGTATTGGTCCTGGTCGAATCCCACCCGCTGCGTGTGGAAGTGAGTCGCAACAACACCAGGCCTGATTGCTAGCACCTTGATATCGGTTTCCACGAGTTCGTTGCGGAGCGAGTTGGTGAAACCCTCTTGGAAGGCTTTGCTTGCGTGGTAGACTGCCTCGCCCGGGAACGGGGGGACTTCATGCGCCGTGACAGAGGTGACGTTGAGGATCGTGCCCTTTCCGGGCTTGTGCTTCATCATGGATCTATTGAGTACCGAGTGTGTGACGAACATGGTTCCGTTAATGTTGGTGTTGGACATGGTAATAATGTCCTCGATCTTGAGGTCTGGGAACCTTGCAGGAGCTCCTAAGGCGAGACCGGCCTTCAGGATGGGTCAGCGAGGCTTGGGAAAATGTAAAATTATACGAAAAGTTGATTAAAGTCTGGCTTACGTTGTTGACGAGAATATCAATATCACCGATCTCCTCGATGGCCGAGCCGATTGCCTTATCGACCACATCAAAAACGCCAACATCAGCTACCCTATAGATGACCTTGACGTTCGGGTTGGAACTTGACACGCTATTCGCAACAGCCCTGAGTTTCTCCTTTGTAAGTTGTCAGTGGACTGATGTGCAAGCGATGCTTCCTTGTATATTTGGCTTTCTCACGCTGCGGACTTACTTCGGATCTGGATAAGAGAACTAGATTCGCGCCCTTGGCGGCCAGCGCAGTGGCGATTGCTTCGCCGATTCCCATAGAGGCGCCTGTCTGTGGAGAGTTAGTGATGGTTCTGCGTTGGATCCCAAATCTCGTTTATTGCTGGAGACGAACCAGCAAGACATTTTTGCCCTCGAGACCCATCTTGATGTTGGATAGCCAAGGTGGTTACAGCTCAAGTCAGAATTTCCCTTGGTGTCAAGCCAACGAGATTGAGTTGATGTAGGTTCGGAAGATATAAGCTTCGAGGGTCTTCTGAAAACTTTATACAATTTCTGAGGGGCGTCTCTGAGTGATATGTGTACCGTTAATCACCCCAATTGAGATTTCCTATGAGTTAACAGTCTAGTCGTTCGGCTTACAAATGTCCCCTACGTCACCGTCAACTAACTAGGACAACCCCACTTCGTAGGGTAGAACCTGAGTAAAGTGATCCTATTAGAGCAGCCGCTACATGCTCATTTTCGGCGATAAGATGCACGAGTACGGCGATGTAGTCTTTAAGCATAATCATCTTTCCCGCCGTAAAGAGCCTGTGGGCGGGAACTATCTCTGTTGAGCGCGCTATACCTTGGCACGCTCACAGGTGGAGAGGAACCCTGTTTTGCCTCAACTCCACGGACTTTCTCGCCGACTGAGTCATTGTAGCCCTGGTGCTTCGTAAAGTCAAAGTTTGAGACGCTGACCAGAAGACGACTTAATCAAGTAAAGCATGAATCAGGGCAGGTAGATGAAAACAATTGACTTTACACAGTCTCGAGTTTCGATTATTCCATGTACGTACATCGAGACTTGTTCAAGAGAGAAAATTGCCGCATGTGCAGGTGTGGGATTCGGTGGCCTTCATCGAAAGATGGACACCTTACGACGGGGCCTCAAGCTCACGGCAGCGGTAGAAAACAACAGAATCACGACGAGGGACTCTCGATGAAAGGAAATGTAAATGGGTTTTTGCGGCGACATTCTACTTGGTGGTAGCAGTGCGATTAATCCTCCATATGAACTGAATTGGCCTCCAGGATACCTCAACGCCGGCAGCGCGGGAACGAATCGGATCTCATACCGGATCTCATGCTAGACGGGCCGATGACTGTGGCAGGCAGCACAGGGGTTGTTCAACGGCCTGGCTTTGTGACACGAAGTACCCGAAACAAGGGATGTCTTTTTCAAAAGGACTATCGCTGATAGGACCGACTGTACTGAATATGCCGTGGACCACACGTCGATAGACACCGGTATGCTTGAGCATAAGTTCTAACTTATTCATGTAGTCAAACCACGATGGGTTCGGAGATAAGTGTTTCTCATGCCAAAGAAATAGTGCCCTCGCACTTTGCCGGAAAAGTAGAAGCCTATCGGTAACCGCTGGCAAGTGGGTTATGCCTGTTAGGGAAGCCCTTTCTACTCTACCACGTGGTAGTTATTCTTAACATGAGGGGAGTATTGCCGTTTGCCAGGAGCTTTGTTGAGTTTCTTGCAGGAAGTCTAGCTGCATGGGTCTTGACTAAATCAGTAGATCTCGTTGAGGCTTACATCTTTCTCTAGTACGCAGAGCGACGAGTTGTTGTCCGAGATGTACGACGGGAGTCTGAGCCTTGTGTGATTGACTTAGAAACGGGTCATTGCCACATCTCTTTGTTCTTGAGTGACTGTGATGTTGAAACCCTGTAACAGCGCCTGCTGTCTGTGTGTTGGAGCTTGGGGCGTGGATTTGGTGGTTGTTCCCTGTCATCCATCTCCTGACCGAGCTACTTGCCGGTGATGACCAGACACCCACCAGACTACGGATAGGAGCGCGGGGTACGGAGAAGAGGCTCTCAAAGATCTGCACCTTTCACATTAAGACCGAAGAGCGACAACCCGAGCCCACGGATTCAGTGTTCATTGCCTACCGTATCTATTAGCCGTGATGGCTGTCAGGCACGCACGGCACGATAACGTGCAGACTACCATCCGGAGTCAGGGGAAACTATGATCTCTTGGCTTCTAAAAATGCCAGCAGTGTCGCAAAGCCGCTCTCCAGTTCCGGCCTAGACCCACTGACGCACGTCCTACCCCGGTCTCGCCCCCCACGGCATTTCGAGTCGGGAAAAGAATCGTCCCCCCAAGAGCCAAGGGAGAGGGTGAATAGCTTAGCCGAGGGTTTCCGAAGGAACCCGGTAAGTGGAGGAGGGGGAGGGGAAAAGTCGGGGACACTATTGACTGAAGACACGCAGAGTCTCAGATTTGAGCTTTCAGTCGCGTGAAGTCAGTCAAATACCATTCATCAAAGGACATGAGAATTGACTTCAGACAAGTGAGAGAAAGACTAGATTCAGAGCGATTCTCAAGAGCCGGTTTACTCAACTTCGTTACGTAGCATTCGCCCAGAAACTCAATAGCTAAACGGAAAGTCTACGAGTCGCAAACTTGGAGACGAGGACACAAGCACGCGGGGTTTCAACCAATCACCAAAGTACCGCGATTTTCTACCGAATCAACTTGAAGAGGATATCAATTTCTAATTCGTGCGGAGAAAATTGGGCCTTCTAACGGGCCACATTTGCACTGACGCCATTTCGCAGTGCGGTTTTGAGGGATACACGAAGAAAAAAAAGTGAGAAATCTCCGTTCATCGGAGTCTCATGCTCAAAACAATTATCCAGACCCAGTGTGCTGTCCTTTCAGTGTACTATGCACACGCGCCACCCACACATTCCGCTCTCACATGCTGAAACAACCATTCATTCTCACTCAAACCAGAAGCCCCCACAAGTTTAGAACTTGTTCTGGTTGGCGTTCTGCATGAGCATCTGGGAATCCGGCTTGTACTTCTTAGACACCAAGCGGACGTCGTACTCGACGTCGAGGGTGGCGCCCTTGGCCTCGTTCTGAACAGGCTTGAAGGTAAGCAGCAAATCGTCCTTGACGGCGCAGGCGGTGTCGGTCTCGAGGTATGGGTCGTCGCTGGGGTAGAGCTGTGCCGTGACGCCGATGAAGTCTGGGTGCGTGACCATCATGTGAATGTGCGCGGGGCGGTACGGGTGACGACCCATGAGCTTAAGCAGGTCGGCCGAGGGGCCGGAGGTGTCGATAGCGTACTCGGTAGGCTTGAGGCAGTAGAAGTAGAACTTGCCCTCAGCGTCCGTCTTGAACTTGCCGCGCAGGTTGTGGCGGGTCTGGTTCTCGGGATCAAAGACATCGTACTTTCCGTTGGTGCTGGCCTGCCACATGTCGAAGACGGCGTCGGGGATGCCCTTGCCCGTCTCCGCGTCCTTGATGACACCGTGGAAGTATGTGAGCTGGCCGTCCTTGGGCATGTTCTGGACGACGGAGGCGCCGAGGTCGCGGAAGGGGGTCTCGGGGGACCAGAAGGGGCCGAGAATGGTGGAGGATGTGGGGGTGACGCCGGACTCGGTCTCGACCGTGTGGTTGATCTCGTCGACGAGACTGTAGAGAGGGGGGGACAATTGTTAGCCATTTGGCTGGGTTTCTGCTTGCGAACATGGCATCGCAGTGGCGCGGCCGGAAAAGCCGCGCACGCGGGGTAAATGATTTTCGGAGTAGACGGCCGCGCTAAAGGGCAGGGCAGGGAAAGGGGGGGGGGGGCTGTGACTTACGACTCAATACCCAGGATATCGCACACTCTCCATGCCTCGTTGCGGTTTTTCTGGTAGGCCTGGCCAATGGAGTTGATGTAGTTGACACCCAGAACCCACTCCTCTTGTGTGAGCTCGACATCTCTGCAGAAGTCGTGAAGGTGCTTGATCAGAGAGCCGAGAACCTGTCTATGTCTGGGCTTGGTCTCGGGGCTCATGAGGTCGATGACATGTTGTGTGAAGTTGGGGTCGAACTTGCTCTTGGTGCCATTGGCGCCGTTGGCGTGTCCGTTGACGCCGTTTGTACCGTTCGTAGCCATTGTGATGGATGTTGTGGAGATGTGTTTGGTGGAGGGTATCTGGAGGGTAACAGGAACAACACGCTGTGATGGAGATGTAGGAGAGCACTTGTAGAATGAGAGATTCTTTGAAATAGGAGCAAACCTGCGAACGAACCGGAGGACCATGATGGTTAAGTATCAAAATCTGGAGCCCCGGATTTAGGCATGAGCAATCCAGACAAGCAAGTCACGGATGGTGGGCATGAATCGTATGACCATCTTTGGTTGCGGCAACAGAGTGCGGCATCGAGTGCGGCAACAGACTTCGGCAATTTGACTAGGGGTTCAGTTCTTTGGGGTAAACTTTCGCGCCTCGCGCTTTGTGCCCCGCGGTGGCTCATCCATCCCACCACCAGACTTCGATCAGAGTGGCAGAGACGACGGACTAACCCCCGCCATGGTCCCTGCGGTCCTTTACTCAGCCAAGGGGGGCAAAACATAGATCCGGGACAATGAGTAGCGATGATGGCATGGGTAAGTGTAATTCCCACGCCTAGCAGCCGAAATGCGGGGGAAACCCGTGGGAAAGCTTCAAAGCATGCGGGGAGGACACTCTGGAAGACAGGCGGCGTCGACTAGACTCCATCCAGAGTTGTTCTTTTGTTTCTAACTGGCTGGAGGCCAGGAACATATGGGGACAGAGTCCGTCCAATGCCAGATGGCTGGGATTCTGCTCACAGCTCGCTGACGGATCCATCTCTCCTGATTGGCATAACCTGTCAGGCGTGTGTTGCTGTCGGTTTTGGATTCAACCGGAACTGTTGGATCCTTCAGCTTTCCATCGTTCGATGTTTGACCACATAGCGCATCAAATCGGCGCATCGAAGCGGCTCAGTCGGGAAGAAACGCGGATGTTGAGGGTTAAGGCTGGTTTCCGCGAGTCGTGGGTGGTACGGGGAGATGATTGTTGCACAGCATGACTCCAGACTCGATTGTCGCGTCGTTTATTCAGACATCTTTCTTCCTCGCTGCCATTTAGTCTCTATCGCTACAGATCCGCTAGGTCTCAGAGGCCCTCTCAGATGTGTCCTCCGGGATCGGCGCCGGTTAGATTTGACTTCCCGAACGGCGCTTGGGCACCGCTTCAATGTTTACATGAAGAAAGGCTCACAAGGTCACAATCAAGACAAGTCTGAATCATAGGCATTGACAACAAGAATACACGTTTTTTCTATACGGCGAGCATCATCTCATCTTGGTGCCAGGCGAGTCACCCTGCCCCGGCACCAACGACGCATTCGCGGCCTCTGGATCACTTCTCCCTGTGCCCAGATCCAAGAATCCCGGGTCCGTCCCGCCGTGGAATCGCACCCGCATTCGGCCTGACTCCTGCTGAATCCGATATAGCTCCGGCGCCGACCGTCCGTTCTCCTTGAAGAACGTCATATTTCTCGCCATGCGGCCCCGGTCCCTGGGCCCATCACTACCATTGCTCGCTCCGCCCGCTGTTCCCTTCGGACCCATAGTATCATGCAACCCGAAGAATAACAGCGGCAGCACGCTGCCCTTCCAGACGGGCTGCTCCGGGTCGTTGTAGTTTTTGAGAATGATCCAGCCCAGCAGAATCCCGCAGAGGCCCACCAAAATGATAGGCAGGGCGATATATTCCCTGTCAAAGTAGGTACACGTCGAGCTCGCCCAAACCTCGCCTAGCGCCTCGGCCCGGCGATTCAACAGAGCGTCCGCGCCACGGACGACGTCCGGTCCGAGCCCCGTCATCCGGAGCTTGTTCGTCACGGCCCAAGCAAAGTCATCGACGGCGCTCGTGAGGTTGGTCACGGTGGCGTTCATGTCGGCCCACAGCGGCGTGAGCCACCACGAGTCGTAGCAGTTGAGGTGCCCGCTCTGCATAGAGTCGTACCGGCACGAGGCGCTCAGCAAGCTCGCCTTGAGGAAGGTCGATAGCGCGGAGAAGAAGGTGCCGTCCATCTTGTACAGGCATTCGTTCGGCACACGGGTGACCTCGTCGCTGCCGCTCACGCTGAAGTTGGTCCAGATGCGCCCGGGAATGTCCAAGGCCTGGCTCTGGTTGGTGGTATCGTACCAGGTGCCGTTGTCAATCACACACGGGCTCTGCCTCGCCGTGTAATTGCCGTACAATGAGTATCCTGACGCCGCATTCTCGGCGGGATTAGACATCGCCGTCGTCGTACGGACGACCGTCTCCGTCAAGGTATTGTTCACGTATCGCGCATGATACTCCTTCAAGCACGGGTACAAGATACACGAGGCGGCGACGTAATCCCCTAGGTTGCTGAAGTAACTGTTGTCGGATTGGGAGAGGCGATGCGGGCACGTCAGCTTCGATGTCCCCGTCGAGTTGTCCGATGTGCAAGGAGACGTCGAGATCATGAGCATGCTAAAGTTGGCCATCGAAACCGGGGCAGCCGCGGCGAAGTCGTCGTTGAAGAGCTTTGTGTACGCCGTCAGGTTGCTGTAGCCCATCCACATATACTTTCCGGCCAGGATGTTGATGACGGCACCGTCGTCCGGCAGCGACAGGTTGCCCACCGTGTCAGGCTCGCTGACGAAGCTCGTCGTGTCGATACACTTGCTACACACCCCGATGCTCGCGTGCGTGACGCCCGTGCCGTAGTCCGGCCACGTGCAGTTGCCGCTGGGGCAGAGGACCTGGACGTCGCTGTCCTGGCTACCCGGATCCGTAATCCCCTGGATCATGGCACTCTTCATGTCCACCTCGATCTCATAAGACCCGGCGCCGACGCGGTAGTAGGCGGACGAGCCCGGGACATAGTTAGCGGCGGGGATCCTGGCGCGGATGTTATCCTCGAGCATGGGGCAAGTCACCGTGCGGACGGCCTGCTGAGTGACGGGGCCAACGGCAAGACTGGCAATCGTCACGGTGGCGGCACCGATGGCGAGGAAGCCTGTGGAGGAGAAACCCAGGTTCCACACGAGCATCGCCAGGAGCTTCGTGGAGCCGAGGATGGAGCGGCTCGCAGCGTCAAAGTCTTGGAGGTGCTGGAGGGGCCGGGTCTGTTCGGCGAACCAGGTCCATTTGATCTGGCCGATGATTTCTGCCACGGCGGCGACGATGGCGGCGCGGAGAAAGGTCGAGAGGAGGGCGATGGCGGAGTTGAGGTTGATTTCAAAGGGCCATTTCGGCATGTAGTGGCCATCGTAGTGGGTGAGGAGCCAGATGATTGCGGTGAGTAGGCAGATTGCGACGAAGAGGGTGAAGATCTCGAGGCCCCAGTACCTTAGGACGTGGCGGGTGTGCCCAGATCTTCTCGGACTCGGTGCGGGTTGATGGTGAATTGGCGGATTTATCGGAGGAGGAGGAGGCGGTGGTGAGAAGTGAGGCTGCTTGTCTTGGTCGGTTTCTTGGAATGGCCATAGAGGCTCAGGTTGGTATTGTGATCTTGATCCATAGGCGGTTATGTCTTCTTGAGGTGGGTCAAAAGAGGCTTGCTTGGCCCGGTCTTCCAGCTCCCAGCTGCGCTGTGCCTCTGGTACTCCCATGTCTCAAATGACACCACGGCTTGGCAGCGTTAGTTCGTATTGGAAGCTTTCTGCAGACATGAAAAGACTCACGCCAAGGTGCGTGAAGCACAGCCGGGTAAGAAGAATAGGTTGGCCTTCATATTTCGATGATGATAATACTCCCCCCTGAGCGCGCCCACAAGGCCAGATTTAATCTTCAAGCTTGCAAAGAAGGTTGATCAAATGAACCGAGATTGGATTCTCCATTTAGATCGCCTCCCACATGAGAACATCTCCAGCCTTAAACCCTACGAACGGACGGGCAGCCCAATTAGGGAACACCATGGCGCTGCTCGTATTCGCAGTATCCACAGTCACCCTGGGGCACTGACTCGGAAATTTCAATCCACGAGGTTGACTAGCCGATGATCCGTCAGACATACGGATGGAAGCGTCTGGGCTAATATGACGATCCACAACACGGAGAAACGATCGCCGTGCTCGTTTCTCCGGCCTATTCAGCGGAACTCTCAGCCTAATGTGACGCTCACCTCGGTGAGGCTATGATGCACGCACCGCTGACCGAGCTGACTCAGTCTATCCCAACCAGAAAGAGTGACTCCAACACCGTCTCGTGTCATGTATCTTTTCGACATCGCTCTGATAGCTACGCAATTGTAGTGATCCAAGCTGCGCTCATGGATCCATCACCAGTTGGCGCGACGGCGCTAGAGACAAGCTGCCTTAGCCTTGAGTAGGCCTTTCGGTAGTACGCGAAGGAGTTTAACAGAATCGTAAAGTATTAAATGATTAAACTAAGTAATTGTTCAACCCTGAAGATTCCACTACTTTGTCTTCTCAATCAACTTCCCCTCGAACCAAGCCGCAAACTTAACAGCGTTGACATCCACATATCTCTGCACGAAATCCGCCACGCAGACGACACCCAGTAAGTAAAGACACGTTGAAAGAAAGACAACAAAGCCCCAGTCAATGCTAAGGTTGGCCTCAAGAGAGACGCCAGTAATGGCACTGAAGAACTGAACGAGGTGATAGCCCCATAGCCAAATCAGACAGTTGTGAACGAGGTAGATTGCGAACGATATCCGGCCGAGGTATTGGATTATCCGACCCGTGAAAATCTGCTGAATGAATTGCGACTGGTCAATAGTGAAAACCAGCCATACTGCGGCGACGGGGATCCAGAAGCAGTCGCCTTCGCCGTATCGTGCAGGGGTTAGCCAGGAAATGGTTCTGAATCCTGGGGTTTGCGCGACACTTCCGCTCCCCTCAGGGAATGACAGCACCCAGAGGGAGCCGATGAAAGAGGCTAATTGGAGGCTCTTCTTGGAGATACCGTAAGGTTTTGAAGATCTAATGAACGAAATTGGGGCATTGAACCCTCTCAGTCCCTGGCGTCGCCAGTACGAAGGGCTCGATAGGTGCGGCAGAGTTTGCCAGTCGTAGCCATTGCTCTCGTAATCGGCATCCTCATCATCGCCGTAGAATCTGAGGGCAGCGAGGAGCAGGCCAGATAAGAAAAGAAAGAAATGCCAGTAGCCGGAGTGAATCGTGTAGACGAGTAGGCACACAAGGAAAAAGATTCGAACGCTAGGGCGAACTCGGTAAAAGGCGATATGTGCCAAGAAGATAATGAGTGAACCGTCAAACTCCACGGGGATGGTCCAAAGTTGCGGCTGATAGGGGAACCCTCTTCCTCTTTCGATATTCTTGGCCATTGGGTCAGACAAATTTGAGAAGTGCCCCCACCATCCGACTATCTGGTCCCATGCATTGTCCAGTGCTGGTGGCCTGAACATGGTGATAGTTGGACCAGGTATAGGCTCAAGCTCAAAGAGTTTGAAGTAGGCCAGGCCGGCGACAGCGAGTGACGTGATCATTGTCGGGAGGAAGAGGCGGATATACCGACGAAAAGCAGAGGAAGCGGCGGCGATTGCAAACTCGGCCGACTTCTTCTGCTTGATAAGCCTCATGGGCTTGTAACTCAGGGCATAACCGGAGATGACGAAGAAGACGCAGACATTCGACAGTCCTGAAAGAGCCAAGCGGAGGATCGGAAGCTGGAGGAAGAGAGGGGTATCATCGCTCATGAAGCCGCGGCGAACCTCGACGGTCAGCGTACATAGGGACCAGTGGTGGCAAACGACGAAAAACGCTGCGAGTCCTCGAAGTCCATCTAGGTACAATCATCTTCGGTCAGTTGAAGGAAATTCAGGCTGTTCTGAGACTGGGATCAACTTACCGAGCCAAGCTGATGGATGAAGGGGCTTTGTTGTTGCATCCGGGTCCACTGGATGCAAGAAACTCGGGACCAAGGCCAAGGCAAAGCTCTTTGGATATCTCAGCCAAGGCGGCAAGGGTCGAGGTGTGACGAAGGTGTCGTCGAGAGAGATATCATCCTCTACTTCGAGAGTTTCAATACGGAAGCTCTCGACCTTGTCGTCCTGACAAATACGAGCGTACTCCAAGTCATATGAAGAAGAAGAAGAGAAAGATGCCTCTGAGGACGATGAAGGAGAGGAAGGCTGAGACTTCAGCAAGCTGGACTCCAGGTCTCCGGACATGATGTCGGCGGCGGTGCCCTCCAAGCAGACAGTGCTGCTGATTGCCCGATTGGTGAAGTTGGACAATGTCAAGGAGGTGAAGCACCAAGTCCTGTTTGAGAAGAAAACGAAGCGACATTTTATGAAGAGTACTTGGCGATGTCGAGGGCCGGGAAAGTTCGCCCCCTTTCTCGCCCGTTCCTCCCGCATGCCATAATGTCTTATGGAGTGGAATCTTCGGTAGGAAATCCCTTGGTGGCTCATGGGCGACCATCGGGGCCACATCGAAAGGTGAAATGTTCATCGCCCCTCCAACCGCTCAGCGCCCATGGTAGGAATGTTTATGCTTATCTTGTGCTTGGCGAATTAGCCCTCGAGAAGCGGTGTCTTTGGAGGTCGCACTTTGTTCACAGTGTAGCTATCAAGACTGGAGGCTGTGATATCCTGGATCGAGCACAATAGCCTAAACCAGTCCATATGAACTGGAGCTGAGCAGCCGTCAAGCTCCAAGCTCATCCTCAACTCCGGTTTAGAAGCTCTCGGCTGACACTAATTTTTCCAGGAAGAAATCACGAAAACCTAATGGATAGTAAGCAGCAAGCTCGACTCCCTGCTCGTTGGCTCGCCTTTTCCCCCCCTTTCTATTGTTGCAATACTGAAGTGCCTCATGCGCATTTCCCCCGCCAACCAGCGGGGTCTTTCGACGTCGTGACGTCGCTAAAATACCAGGATGTCATTTCATCGCTCTCAATAGGTCTTTATTGCTAACAGGAGTTTTGATCGTAAGCTTTTGAGACATCACGGTCGTTGTTAGGGCCACTGAAGCCCCTGGTGAGTGGTCCTGGTTACACCAGCCGAAAGACCAGCAGGGCAAGGGAGTCAACTGGACCATGGGGGTCGCATTTGGAGGGAATCACACTTCGCCTTGTGCAACCCCAAATAAGACCACAAATGATCCCTTCCTTTCGCTTTGATATAAGCTTCCATTTTCAAGGGCGGGGCACTACCTGATCTTGTTTACACTGACTAGTAATATCACTTTAATGTTCAGTCTGGCTTTTCATTTGAGCGTGAGATGAAGGATAGCCCAGCCCGACACGTTACATGCGGCATAACTTTATAAATGACATCCCTTACTCAGCATGTAGCAATTCAGATGCCGGTCACTTGAACTTTTCCGCTTCGTGACAGATCGTTCACAGTCTTGAGTTTACAATGGAAAACGTTTTGCTGCCTTGTTCATCTATTTGGGATGGGTACAAGCTGGTTTGCCGAGAAGTGGGCACAAGTGAAGGGATATCAACTACTTTGAAACAAATCCTTTCAGTCGGTTACACGGCATTCTTCTTCCGCGCCCTGGAGGTCTTTTAGATGTCGATGCTGGCTGGAGGTTGGGAGATTGGGAATGACTTCGTCTCGCACTAAGCTAGCGCAATCAGCGGGCCGAGGTCAGGTCCCGTCAGGTGTTGCCCCCTCGGACAAGACGAGTCTCGGCCAGGAAAAGAGTGGTGGGAATCCGCATTCCGGTAGTATTCTTCGGCCAGGCAAGCTTGGCGAGACGAGGTGCGGGCAGTCAACCGGTCAATGGCTGGTATGATGGGAAATGAGCCTGCGTGCCAGGGGTCCTAAAGTGGCATGCTGTACCGTTACACAAGGCTGATGACATCATGCATTGAGGTAGGACTTAATATGATAGCAGTCCATGCCCAGAAGGTCCAGATGGAGCCCCTAAAATATAGACGTGGGAAGCAAGAAGGTGACGGTGAAGTTTGCTCAAAAGTTGGATAGTTCGTGCCAAGATGACGTTGGGCCAGAGTTTTTATAGCTGTTCACTGACCTCAGAGCGCAATTTAAACCACTGAATGAGGTGCAAATTACGGTTACACATTGGTGATATTTTGATTGAAAGAAGGAGGTGATACCTTGGGTACCTATCTTGTAATAACAATGCTAATTCCAAAGTGCGAGCACCCCTTTGCCCGGATGAGAATCGCCGAGATTCGTTCGAGTTTCGGCCCGCTCATGCGTTCCGACAAGCAGAGCTACAAGCTGACCAGCAGGCTACAACTGAGACTATTGTCTAAGTATTGAAAACGCGGGTGGGGTCGGCGTGGTTGGCTTGCAGAGAAGGGAGACTCTTCGAGTGACAAGGCTCGCCATTCGATCGGTTGTGATTCATCAACAGCCGCACGACATAGGCAGATTAATTGGAGCCACGAGTGCAAACGGGAGATATGTGAGCCCATGTCGGCAACTCGGGTGCTCGGGTTCGCATTCTGACATCTCCTGCCGGTCATCAAAGCTTACCAGGCACAGTGCCCTAACTATTTGACTCTACTCAACCCCTCGTTTGAAAGATGAAGAAAATCAGATATGGATAAGCCGTTCCCTCAATGACCGATATAGATAGATACACTGGAGATATTCGTTGCGCAATCCTCTGCAACGTGTTCCCTTAGCCTCATTTTGGAAGTTTCCATACTAAAGGAGAATGAAGGAGAAGTGCACCCAATATAACTACGATCTTACTTGCCTCATCAAAGACAGAGCTCTGCGATAGTGGTCTGGTGAACAAAAGTGATATTTCTTCGAGGTCGTTGTATATAGGGAGAGAAATAAGGGAGGATGTCACTCAGACATACCACTAGACCATTTAGAGAAGTATCTTTATAGAGATATTTGGTTTAACGGCATATCCGGGCCTTAGCGTCGCGGTCAACTCCGCCCCTCTAACATTTTCTCCCCGATTCATCTTCTTTGAGACAGCACGACATTCCACTTATGATGGAAACCCGCAGCAAGAAGCCGGAGAGACTGCACCGGGCCGCGTACAGCTCCCGGATGAAGGCTTGCTCCTCTTGCCAAAAGCAAAAGGCACGTGCAGGCTCCCCGACCATTTGGCGTGCGTGACGTTTCATCTAGCGCGTCGCTAACCTCCCTGTGAAGGTGCGATGCTTGCCGAGCGGCCGAGATGGGCCATGCCAGCATTGTAGGAAGAAAAATATTGAATGCGTCTTCAAACGGCCAACTCGAGAGATAGAGCCGAGGACCAATGATGCAAGCCCCAATCGGTTCGACTGCCCGCCTCATGTCTGATGGGTTGCGCCGCTAATACATCGTGAAGCTCGGATATGGTGGATGATCTTCGCATGCTGCACACAGCGATTAATAGCCTCTTACAACAAGGATCCCAACCGCTGCTCGGGCCTCTAAGAAGCTCACTTACTACAGGAAGACTGAATGTTGAGGGATTGCATCCGGATGAGACTGGTGCCTTCATCGAAGATGAGGATCAAGAGATGGAAGTGCAACCCGATTCATTATGTGCACAGAGTGAAGATATCGTCGAGCCATTGAGTCAAGCACCCATCAGCTCTTTGCATGAAATCACAAGATTAAGGTCTACCAATGCTAAAGGAGCTATTTCTTCGGCGCCTATCGCAGCTCAACCACCCGCACAAGAGCCTCAAGACCTCATCAGCGAAGGAAATCTTCAGCGGAGTGATGCAGACCGTCTGGTGAAAAGATTTCTGGAGCGGACGGACTACTACCTCTATGGCATCACGAGCCGGTTCGAAGATCTAGACAGCGTGCGCCGCGCATCTCCCCTCTTATTCGTGGCAATCTGCACGGTCTCGGCTCTGCACGAACCCAAGGGCGAGCAATTATACCGCGTCTGCAGTGCTCGACTTCGAAAGCTCGTGTCTGACTTCATGTTCAAGAAGCACGTGAACCTCTACGATTTTCAGGGGTTGTGCATAGCTTCGTTCTGGCTCAGTGATCTTTCGTGGTCAGTGTCTGGTCTCGCCATTCGTCGAGCTATCGAGTTCCAACTCGACAAGTCATATGAAATCGTCATCGGCACCAGCCAGCTCAACGACAGGTTTTCCAACAGTCTTGGGCTCAAGGACCGGGAAGACGCACTCAGCTGCTTGAGGGTGTGGTATCTGTTCTACATTTGCGACCATCACCTCTCAATTCTGTATGGCAGGCCTTCAAGTTTTGGCAACCCGTCGTCTGTGGAAGGATGGAGGAGGTATCTTCGTGCTATTCCCAGCTCAAGCACCGACACTCGTCTTTCCAGTCAGCTGGAACTGCTGTCGATATTGGAGAAAGTCACATATATGTTCGGCTCGAACGATGACAGTCGCATATCGGAAAGTTTCAAAAAGGAGCTTGAGGCATTCAGTTTAGAGGTGGACCGATGGCACGGTTTGTGGGCTGCTCGATACAGAAGTAAGTTTAGGATGACTTGTGAGAATGATGTGAGGGGCGATTGTTGACTGTGCACTGTGCTTTACAGCTCAACGCGATATTGAGAGGCAGATAGGAGCCTTTCCTCGGAAGAATCTTCGTCTACACTACCACTTCGCGAAATTGTTCATTGGTTCCCATGTCTTTCGAGGACTTTCATCCAACCCGGTCGATGATCCAATTCCGATGGAGTTTCACGACTTAGCTCATGGAACGGTTGATTCTGCTATATCAACGATCCAACTTATCAGCACCGATCCAGATCTCAAAGCTGGGTTGGTAGGATTGCCGCACTACAATCATACCATGATAGCATATGCGTGCACTTTCCTTCTCAAAGTCGCAACAAAGTATCATCGCCATCTGGATATAGACCAGGATGAAGTTTTCGACCATGTGTCGAAAGCTGCAGAGGTCTGCCAGTCCATACAATGCACGCGGTACCACCTTGTCAGTTGGATGGGGGCTGGATTGGCTAAGTTTGTCGAAAATTGCCGAAAGCTTGCTGAGAGGCAATCAGAGACCTGCGCGGACGGACGTGAGCGCGAAACAACTGTCAGCCCGACTCTCTCTGCTCGTAAGGTTAGGGCTGCAACTAGAACTATGACATCAAATGATGCATGGGATTCGGCAAGACGAGTTGCGGAAGCATTTCCAACAAGTCTGCAAGGATTCATGGATGGCAACTACAACTTTCCAGAGGATGCTGCCGACATGGACAGCATGGAGACCTTGGGTTTAGACATTTTGGAGGGGTCTGATTTAGC